GCAAGGCCGCCGACGAAGAGCCTGACGAGACGCGCTGACCCCGCGCTCGGCCAGTCAGTCCCCCGCCGGGACCCTACCGCTGAGGCAAATGGCGTCCGCGGAGAAAAGCCCGGAAGTCCCGCCCACGTACGGAAGCTTCCGGAAATGCCCCCCTCTCCCGGGCCGTCATTGGCCAGCGTCCGCGTCAGGCTCATGAAACACAGCCTTCTGGGTAATGTAGTTCGCCCGCCTCCGTCTAGCCCACGACGCGAGTACCCGACGCGCCTTAACCAGGAAGTCGTTCTTCGAGGAAAAGGCGCACCGGCTGCCGAAGTGGAGGAGGAATGGAGGCTCTGGAGGCGGGGAGCTTCGCCCGGGTTCCGGGCCTGGTCCCTGGGCTCACCTGGCGCCTCCCCCAGTCCCGCTACCTCCTCCCCAGATTCGCTCTTGGAGAGACAGCTCTGTGAAACGTCACTTAAAACCCCTCCTGAGGAGGACGCCGGAAGTCCCGCCTCCTCACTTCACGCCCCTGGCGCACCTGGCGCACTCAGCTACCGAGCTCGCTTGGGATTTTTGTTGGGACCGGAACCTCCTTCAGAACCACGACGCCCGAACTTCCGAACCACGCAGCTGGGCCCAAGTCACTCGAGGGGATGGGTTTGCCACCCGCCGAGGCGGGAGGCCCGGGTGGAGGAGGCCCAGTGAGTGCAGGCCTCCCGCCCTGTTGCGCGGCCCATTCGAAGTCCACCAAGTCCGCCATGTTGGGAGAGCGTTGGCGCCCGGATGTAAATGTGGGGTCACCGCCCCCCCCACACGGTGGCTTCAGGGCCTGGCACCCGGTGAGACCGTCACGGAAAGGGGTGTCGACTGGAGAGGAGAACCGGCAGAGCGTGGACCCCGGCCCGACCCCACGTCATTCAGTGGCTGATGACAGGCAGCCGACAGATTCATGTTAGGGGTTCTGGCGGCACCGGAAGTAGATTAAGCCATTTTAGCAGTCCCCATTGAGGGTGGGGGTGGGTTTTTTAAAAAATATATATATATTTCTTTTATTGATTTCAGAGAGGAAGGGAGAGGGAGAGAGAGAGACATCGATGATGAGAGAGAGTCATGGATCGGCTGCCTCCTGCACGCCCCACACTGGGGATGGAGGCTGCAACCCGGGCATGTGCTCTGACCAGAAATCGAACCATGACCTCTAGCACAGTTGATTAGAACGTCATCCCCATACACCAAGGTTGCAGGTTTGATCCCTGGTCAGGGCACAGGCAAGAAGCGATCAGTGAATGCATCAATAAGTGGAACAACAAATCGATGTCTCTCTCTCTCTCTCTCTCTCTCTCTCTCTCTCTCTCCTTCCTCTGGCTCTCAATTCAATAAATTTAAAATAATTAAGTCACGCAAACACATATGTGTAATAACACAAGTCTTTCCATTTTATGCTGCTGTACTGTGGGTTCCAGTCATAAACAAGCAAAAGAACTTGTCCGCTTCCCTCAAGACTGATCCATGCATGACCTCAAGAAGAAATTGCAAGAGAGACATCATTTCATTAATCGCGCGTGCCCTCTTGAGGGTCCTGTTTTTATTTTCAATTTTTATATTTTGTAAAAATGACCTTTTGCAACGAATTTTTGTTTTTTTTTTAAGTATCGCGTCCAGGATTCCCTACCCTGATCGGGGAATTCTTGCACCCCCTCTAGTATTGCCCCTGAGGTGATAGCCTCACTTGCCTCCCCCTAACCCTGGTTCTCATTTAAAGAATCCTTTTAGCCAAAACAGGTGTGGCTCAGTGGATAGAGCGTCGGCCTGCGGACTCAAGGGTCCCAGGTTCGATTCCGGTCAAGGGCATGTGCCTGGGTTGTGGGCACATCTCCTATGATTGATGTTTCTCTCTCATCGATGTTTCTAACTCTCTATCTCTCTCCCTTCCTCTCTGTAAAAAATCAATAAAATATATTAAAAAATAAGTAAATAAAGAGTCCTTTTAGCCCGGCCGACGTGGCTTGGTAGTTGAGCATTGACCTGTGAAGCAGGAGATCACAGTTCGATTCTCGGTCAGGGCACAGGCCCGGGTTGCGGGCTGGATCCCCAGTGTGGGGCGTGCTGGAGGCAGCCCATCCATGATTCTCTCTCATCATTGATGTTTCTCTCTCTCTCTACCACCCTTCCTCTCTGAAATCAATAAAAGTTAAAAAAAATCAAGAATCCTTTTATTTTAAGAAAAAAGATAAAAAGTCCATCACTTCAGAAGGTAAGTGAAGAGCATGAAGAAATAGTTTTAAGAATACGTAGGTATGTTATAAACATCGAAAAAAGGTGTGTAAATGCTATTGGGATGGTTTAGGTGTACAGGGTTGCTATACATTTTTTCAACTTGTTTTGTTGCTGTTGTTTTTTTAAAAAAGAGAGAAGAAGGGAGAGAGAAACATCAATCTGAGAAACATCTACCAGTTGCCTCCCATATGCACCCCGATCGGGGATCGAACCCACAAGCTGGATATGTGCCCTGACCAGGCATCAACCCGCCACCTTCCGGTGCCCGGAACAAGGCGCTCAACCCACTGAGCAACACCAGCCGGGGCAACATTTAAAAAATTTTTTTTATGTCTAGACACGGAATAGTGAGTTTATTCATGATAAACAAGCCAACGAAAGTGTCGTGTGAAGAACTTGCAAAGATGTGCAGGGGGGTTCTACAACGTCTACACTACACTGTAAAGTGATATTGGTAGAAGATTTTAGAATCGTGAAAACCGTTCCAGAGCCTGGGAGCCTCTCATCTGACGTGGCATATGCCTTATGAAAAGTACATTCACAGAAGAAAAGGCGTCCGCTCTCCCTTCCTGCCTGCTCTCTTAGGTGTGTGCGTCTCCTACACCCCAAGGGACCCTATGAGGCTTGCAACCCTGGACAGCGCCAGTGTGTTCCCCCAGCGCTTACCCCCTGACCCTGGCCCCTGCACCCCTTTTCTTCCACTTCTTAGTGAGCCCGAGCAGCCCAGTTGAGGCTCATTTCCCCACCTAGTCCCTCTCCTATGGCTTCCTTATCCTAGGCCAGTGATGGCGAACCTTTTGAGCTCAGCGTGTCAGCATTTTGAAAAACCCTAACTTAACTCTGGTGCCGTGTCACACATAGAAATTTTTTGATCTTTGCAACCATAGTAAAACAAAGATATATATTTTTGATATTTATTTTTTATATTTAAATGCCATTTAACAAAAAAAAAATCAACCAAAAAAATGAGTTCGCGTGTCATAGGTTTGCCATCACTGTCCTAGGCCCTTCCTGTGTCGCTGTCCCCAGCCTTTTTTTTTTTTAAGGGTAGGGTCCTTCTTTATATATTTACTAGAGGCCCGGGGCACAAAAAATTGTGCACTTGTAGGAAGGGGGGGGGGTCCCTCAGCCCAGTCTGCACCCTCTCACAGTCCAGGACCCCTTGGAGGATGTCCACCTGCCGGCTTAGGCCCACTCCCCATGGGATCAGGCCTAAGCTGGCAGTCAGACATCCCTCTGGCAGCCCAGGAGCCCTCGGGGCATGTCCACCTGCCAGCTGAAGCCACAGTCGGACATTCTTAGTGCTGCCAAGGAGGCAGGAGAGGCTCCCACCACCACCACTGCGCTCAAAGCCATCAGCCCGGCTTGTGGCTGAGCAGAGCTCCTCCTGTGGAAGCGCACTGACCATCTGGGGGCAGCTCCTGCGTTAAGCGCCTGCCCCCTGGTGGTCAGTGCGCATCATAGCGACCACTCGTTCCCAGTCATTCTGCTGTTAGGGTCAATTTGCATATTACCGTTTTATTATATAAGATTTTTTGATTTACTTCAGAGAGGGAGAGGGAGAGGGAGAGAAACATCAATGATGGAGAGAACCACCCATTGGCTGCCTCCTGCACGCCCCCACTGGGGATTGAGCCTGAAACCCTGGGCATGTGCCCTGAGTGGGAATCGAACTGGAGAGCATTATGCTAAGTGAAATAAGCCAGTCAGAGAAAGATAAATACCACATGATCTCACTCATTTGTGGAATATAGAGAACAACATAGACTGATGAACAGGGACAGATCCAAAGACAGAGA